AAATTCTCGAAGAGGTATAACCTGATAATGATTTTTGTCCACACCACAAATCGTCACCTCTCCACCGTTTTCCGCACCGAAATCTCTATTCAACCAGAATGCGACTTTCTTCTCCTTGCAAGCAGAATTCCGAAGGAACTGCCCCATCGCAGACTCCTCCTCCGGCGATTCCCCTTCCGCAGACAAACCAAATACGCCATCGCATGAGAACTCATATTTATCATGCACGGATTGCATCTGTATAGTTCCAAGAGTTCGACAATCTAGCTTTCTATAGAATCGAATAATCTAGAAGAATTTCGGATTGAAATTTTGGCAGACTCACCTCTATGCCATTTCTTTTGGTTGCACACACGAAATTTTGACTCACTTCGGTGCAAAATCTATTGCTTGAATTACCAATCTATAATTTTCGTTTTCTCCATTCTCTGATTCAATGTAAAGCAAAAATGCGAAAAGGGTCTCAATCGATCAAATCTCTGAATTAATTCACTTCATAAATTCTGATTTCACGGATGTTTTGGACGGCTTATAGTGAAGACCAGCCATGCGCGTTCTCCATCAGAATGATCTCTTCAAATTTGCTATAGATGATTGCTAGCTAAGACAACATCCGAAACAAACGCTGTTTGCATGCAGTGCTCGTTAGAACGTAACCTTTCAGTCCTGCAAACCCCGATGGGGAGTAAGTTTTCCGGACGTATCCCGACAAAAACTTGATGATCTGTTCACTAAAACCATTTCTTTTAGGCATACCTGAGGGGAATGAAACAGACCGAAGGTTGCAAAACATAAGCAACTCAAAGATGGGTGTTTGTAAACGTACACAGACAACGTCCCTGTCTAGAGGACCTGAAACTTCGCCTTGGACATACGGACAAAAGGTTGGTTTCACGTTGACAAGAGAGCAAGTTGTTGATTGAGAACAACTGAATTTCGCACGTTTCTGACACTCCTCATCCGAGCATCCCACACAGTCTACCCATAACGGCCATGACCCCGTATCGAATAACACCTATTGAATCTGAATGATTATCAACAGTACTTCCAACACAGTAGTCTAGACTTGATGTACTGTTTCTAGCAGAAATTTGTGCCTAATGGCAGAGTGAGGATCAGTGCTGAGTCAAAATCCACTTTCAAATGTTCTTAGACAGGTGCCCATATTAAGTTGCTCTACGTTTTTCTCATAATGATAGAAGCTTGCCTCGAATTCCTGCGGTGGTGTTCCAATTGTGATTAGTCCGGTGTACGCGAGGTTGAGGAAATTCTTTAGTGTCAAATCATACCTTTCATCCTTCCACCATGACTTATTAGTGGAGAAACGAAACGAGCGGTTTGGCAAGGGTTTCCTGCTTATTCGTTCTCTTTTGGTTAATGGTACCCTTAAAATGTGGACCGATTACTTAATCGAAAATTCACAGCGGACATCAATTGTAGATCGCTGTTCTGATGGAAACCATCATCCTTAATGCTATATCATTTAGCTATCGCCAAGCCCTATATCATGTGTGCTACATTCGATCTACCTGTGTGCTCAGATTTGATCGGTAAGGTTATAATCTGTTGATACCGTTGAATAGNCGAGATTCTCAGCTTTCAGAATGATATATATGTTGTCGAGCGATTTTGCCTAGTTCAAAAGTTATAGGTTAATTTTGAATACTATATCCTTGAAGAAGCGAGTTGTGCCACCCTATGCTCCATGCATTCATTCTCTCTAAATTCTTATGCTGTTACAATAATCAAGGCGCTCAACAGGCATTTTATTGAAATGATGGGCCTACGTTGCTGAGAATGCTTCGAATGTCTTATGAACACATTGTCTCACCTATATAGTGCGTCAGTTGCTGTTGACAACGCAAGCAAGACGACAAGCAATTGGACTACTGAGGACATCACGCCTGGAAATATGTGGAACGTTGGGACTCGAACGGAACACGTAATGTCATGTTGAGAACCTAAATTCGGAATTGTTCTCGAAAAATTCGGAAATGCAATTATCTGAAACAATATGGAAAAGGTACGGCGCCGATGGTCCACGTATGCCATTTGGCATTGCATTTGATCATTGATTATATGGTGATTTCAAAGGTGCTTAAATATTGCGTGATTTGAGTGGGTTTCATCACGATTGTATCGTTGTATTTGTATTATATGTTCAGTTGTTAACGCATGGTTTAGAAAAGTCTTTTGATGAAAACAAATGTAATTTGATGAATGATTCAGATTCTCGCATTCATAAGCGCCCATCTTTTGATGCAGCAACTTCAGAGATGTCGTTATTAGAATGGTGATGATGAAAACTGATTGTGCTGTATGGAATTGCTCGTCTTCGACAAATGTTTCAGCATTCGAATGATTTCGCATGTTCTTGAATTGCTGCATTCATTTGGACAATGCAATGAGACATCCTATTGTATTGGTATGCAGCATTCCAACAACTACCAACGAATAGGTTTCAATCGTGAAATAACACCACCTTATCTTCATTTGTACTGTAATTTGACATTAAGATGTTGTTGATGAATGCAATTCCGAATTTTCTGGGAATAAGTGAACGATTTGTTCCCTCTAAACAATTATATATTTTGTGGCATACCGTCGGGTGATAATCACAAATATTGGTTTGAATATATTATAAATATATTCGATAATTTCATTTCAACATGCACATGTTCAACGCCCCACACTGAACTGATAAAAAACTCAATGTAATGAATATAGGAAGATGATTATAAGGCGTTATAAAGTGTTACACTCAGACGAAATGCGATGTTGATATTGACTTCAAGCGCCAAAGTAACTGAAAAATGTTTCTAAACAGTATTTGGCCGCCGAATACTAGCTCAGAGGTCATATTTCAAGATGAGTGCAGTTGACTATGTCAAGAGGTAATGCGGTATTTCTGGATTTCTCGCGATGTTTTCATGAACTCGCTGAGAGGATTTCAAGTTGTCACAATGAAATGGTTTCTGGTTGATGCGTTCGCTTGAAGTGTAACATAAGCAGTTCTGTGCCACATTTCAATAACATTCATTAATAAAATGATCATAATTGAATGAGATAATGTTGTTACTCAATTCAATTGTTCAATATGATTCTGATCAACATGAGACGATTCATTCGTTATATTATTTGAACGGAAGCGTTGGATGATGCCCGACTGATTATGTTGTTGCTTTTGCCAATCCAACTCTTTTGTTTTTAAAATCGAACACCGAGTAGTATTGTCCCAGGAAAACATCACCGAGAATCCACCTTTCATACGGGTTAATCTTAATCGTGCAAAACTCACTGAATAATTCCTGCAAGCAAAGCGCAACTTTTGATTCATTTCATGAATCAGATACGGAATGTTATACAGGCTACACTGACGGTCCTTCTGATTACTGAACTCGTGGAGAGCAGGCTACACTGACGTGATCATTCAAATCAATTCTGTTTTCTCTAATGTCCACTTTTCATTCCATTTTCCGACGATTCATTACTGAACTCTAAAAATACTGAAAATGAACAGCTATGAGCCTTTATTCGAAAGGACCAGCAACAGTCGGGCATTAAATCAGAACGGTATTGAATGATTGTATTTCTTACTTTTACTGCATACGCTTCCGGAGGAATGCTGAAGGGGTTTCCATTCAAAACGAATGTCAATGTTGGAAGCTCATCAACGCTCGAACAACGACATAACAGTGCTACATCATTGTCGTACAATACTATCAACCCATTCAAGATACTTGCTATCTGAAATGGTCCAAGAAGCAACCAATTTTAGTTCATTTTGTTAACCATTACTCAAAAAAGCTCCTTCACAATGTAAACGTAGGTTGTCTAAAATCGAACTTTTTCAATGCTGAGTGACTCATGATGGACAACTGAAAAATCAGAATTATGAAGTAACCTGGTCGATCCGACTAAGTCACTGATCGGAAATTCATTAACAATTCCTTGCATTGAAAGTTACCTTGAAATATTCTTCGGATGGCACAGCCATATACGACCAACCAGAGTCGATAACTGCTTCGGTTTGACCTAACGACATCCGATGTGAACCGATAAGTACGTCATCCATTCGGACGTACCAATGCGGTCCATGCTCGAGCGGAATCCATACGAGATCACCCTTGACAGAACAAATTATCATTGTGAATGATTTTCAGAACAATTATCCGCTTCATTATTCATAAGAAGTTTATCTTATCCTGATCATTCCGAAATGCTGACAAAATGTATCGAGCAAAGCGACTTAAATACACCGATGATGTGGAAAAAAGTTACTGCGACACACTAGTTACTGTCTGAAATTCGCGACGAGGGATAACCTGATAATGATTTTTGTCCACACCACATATCGTCACCTCTCCACCGTTTTTCGCCTCTGAATCTCTGTTCAACCAGAACGCGACTTTTTTCTCTTCGCAACCGGAATATCGAAGAAGCTGCCCCATCGCAGACTCCGTTCCCGGCTGCAACCCCTCCGCAGACAAACCAAAAATTCCATCTTCCAATATCTCAAAATTGTCATGCACTGATTATATCTATCCACTATTAAGCTTCCATTAGCACAGCTTTCCGAAGAACAGAATAATCTCGAACATTTTCGGATTGAAATTTGCACAAACTTACGGCCAGTTCACCTCTTTGCATTGCACATGTGAGATTTTGTCTTTTACGGCCGCAAAATCCACTGCTTGCATCGCCAATCTATAATTCTGTTTTTTCCTTCTTATGTTGAAAGACCAAGCAGATGCAACGTAAAATAAAAGGTGAAAAAGCTCTCACTCGATCATATTTGTGAAACAATTCACTTTATAAATTCGAGTTTTGCGGATGTTTCAGACGGCTTCATAATGAAGACCAGTCATATGCGTTTTCCATCAGGATTATCTCTTCATATTTGCTGAAGATTATTGCTGCCTAAGACAACAGTCGGAACAAACGCTCAACTCAGCCAGTTCGCTCCTCGACAAAAATTCGAGGAACGAATTTGCCGAGTCGAAGATCTGTTCAATAATAACCACTATTTTCAGGCATACCTGAAGAGAATGAACCAGATCGAAGGTTCCAAAACGCGACCAACTCAAAGATAGACCACGATAAACTTACACAAACATAATCCTTGTCAATAGGACCCCAAGCATGGCCTTTGGCGTACTTAATGGGATCTGGTTTGGCGTCAACCGGAGAGCAATATCGTGATTGAGAGCAATTGAACGCCGCACGTTTCTGACAATCCCCAGCTGAGCAACCAGCACAGTTTACCCACAGCAGGTCTGATCCGGTATCGAAATTCACCTATTAAACATGTATAATCGTTGAAGTTGCTTTCATCAGAGTAATCTGACCTTGATGTGCAGATTGTGATAGAAAGTTGTATCTATTCGTTCAGTAAGGATCAACACTGAGTCAAAATTCACATCCACATCTCTTTAACGAGCTGCCCATCTTAAGCTGCTATACTTTGTTTTCAAAATGATAAAAACTCGCCTCGAATTCCTGCGGTGGCACTCCAATTGTGATTGTTCCCGTGTAAATGGTGTTCTTGTAATTATTTAACGGCAAGTCGTATGGTTCCTCTGCCAACATTGGCGGGTACGTAAACTTATTGGCGAAGTAACGGAAAGACCGACTGGGCGAGGGTTTTCTTTTTGCTTCGGTGTTCAGTATTCGTTTTCTTCTAGTCAGTTGTACCCTGAAATGGTACATCGATGACCTCATCAAAAATTCACTCTGTAGATCAACTGGATCGTGATTTTGACACAAACAAGAATCCTCAAAATATTTCTCGAAAACTGCCCCCCCCCCTCGGTCTTAAATACATTCAATTTCTCTAAACTCTCATGCTGTTTTAATGATCAAGGCACCCGATAGGTATTTTATAGAAATGATGGGCCTACGTTGCTGAAAATGCTTCGAAGAGGTTATGAACACATTGTCTCACCTGTATAGGGCGTCAGTCGCACATGACAACGCAAGCAAAACGATGAAGAACTGGATTGCTGAGAACATCTGAAAAAATCACCAAAAGTTGAGTCTCAACTGGATCCCGGTAAGTGATGTTCATAATTTGAATTTTAAGCCTTGGAAATTGTTCTCGAGAATGTTCAAAGATGGATTTATCCTAAACGGGGGAAATGGTTG